TTATCAATAAAAGGTTTTAGAAATAGTATTTTTTTATTTCTTAAAAAGTAGAATTATGCTAAGTAAAATTTACCCTTCAACTTCTGTGAGTGCACCATCTCGCAGAAGGAGGCGGCGGGGCGCGTGAGAGACGCACAATCCCGCCGCCGTCGAGCGGGGGCCAGGGAGGCGGATTTGGCCCAAGCCCTGGCCCTCTAAGTGTTTCGGGTCCCCCTCACATGTTGGTCTGGGGACTAGCTAGGGGGCCTAAGAAGACGACTTGCAAGCTGCTCTGCACGCGTTTTACGCAAGAGCATCCGGGAAGGATGGAAGACCGGCTATCTTCGACCCACACTGGCTCTGGCCCAGCGGGGTATTCCGTAGGGTAACTCACTCTAACCGCGCCATCTAGGCGGGCTTCGGACAGCCTGCCGACCAAGAGGGCTGGTGGTTGTGGCGCCGACGACCGCCGGTCCGGCATCCTGAGGGGGAGGGTGATGGAAGAGATGTGCTCCGCACCAAACGCTTCACTTTCCCCTCTTTGCTTTTTCATGAGTTCTGTCTCATGGGAGGTTTGGACGTTGGTTGTTGAGCGACAAGAGGTTTTAGTCAGTTCGACTCTGACATGCCCTGCCCTCCATCCCCAGTGGAGGGCGGAAGTCCGATGATTTCCTCCTGACAAAAAAAAAATTAAAATTTACCCTATGGGCTGTCAATTGGTAGCTTCTTTACTTAGCGGCTATTAATGTAAAATTTTATTTCCTAATTTATTGTTTCTATATCGATATGAAATCAAGAAAAAAAATGTAATAAGAAAATCACTTAGTCCAAATCTCGAGATGTCTAGTGATTATGGTTGTATTCAATCATCAAATAAATAGTCAGGGACTGGGAGCAAAATATGCTGGTTAATATAAATGTTTGGTTTGTTGTTGAGTACCACATTTTTCTGTTATTAAATCTCCTGCTAAAAACCTTTGATAAATTCATTATAAGGTTGTATGATTACCAAAGAAGGCGCTTTTCAAGTAAAAATTACTTTAAATTAAATCGGTCAGTACTTGACTATTACGGAGGACCACAGAAAAAAAGACCCACAAAAACTGTAGCATAATATTTAGAAGACTCCATACAAGTACTTGAATTGCAAAAAACAGCATTAAAAAGCTTAAGATAAAATATTCAAACTCCTTACAAAGATCTAAACAGTACGTATGTTGAAAACGATAACATTTGCTTTTAAAATGAAATAGGAACTTAAAAAAAAATTAAAAGTCAAGGCTCAAGCAAATCGGAGAATTTTGTCTTTGACCGCAAGGAGGTCTGATAAATAACAATGTTTGTTGTACCTCTGTACAGAGCTAGACCAGTAAGATATTACTGTAGTAGTAAATAAAAAAAAATAAAAAAAAATAAAAAATTTGATAAACTTTTTTAATTTAAGTACTTAAGAAATCGAATTCACGGCCCATCTAGCACTAAAGGGGTAACAAGTGCCCCGAGAACTCAAAAGGGTATGCCACTACACCTCAAACCATGAAGTTAAATTCTCAAATATTTCGTATGACAACTGTCCCATGCATTAAATTTGAACACATAGTGACTTCGCGGAAGAAATAGACAATGCGATTATATGTCTATCACCACGGGTTCCACATACGACTTTTAACTGTTCCATTTTGGGTTCACAAATGAGGTAAGCGCTATTCATATCCTCTGTAGCATTTCGATACATTTCACTTTTCATAAAATTCGACGGATTCAAGTAGATATGAATGCGTGGAATTAAGTATTCTATTAACGGCCGTCTGGTATACTGGTAAGTGACATGGTCACTACATAAGGGGGTCGCGGGTTCGAATCCCACCAATGGAAGATATTTGAATGATAAATATAAATGTCTTTTCCAGGGTTATGGATGTATATTAAATATATGTATGTGTATAATAAAAATCTTACATTTATTTCCGTTATCTGGTACCTGTAACACAAGTTCTTTACGAACTTATCACGGGACCAGTTAACGTGGCATGATTGTTAATAAATATATAACATATTCAACATTGGAAATTCTTCTTTTTCTTTGTCTCCACCTTATGCTACTAGGTGGGGTCGAGCGAATTTTTCTATTCCCTTATCCATTGGAAATTAATTTTCATTTTTTAACAATTTCACTCGTCGTCCAATAATAAGAGGCCAGCTTTTTAATTTCAATTGCTGACTATCTCAAGTGTATTTTAAAAAACTGCAAATTTATTTACCCTGTTATCTCTGGTGTCCACCCGGTTAATTCTGACCGGAGTCTTACTAAGTACTTTAAATAACGAGGGTGTAGTTAAGCCCTCTTTCTTATTTCTACGAAAGACTGGGGCGGTCGTTGTACTATAGAAGTGAAACTTAAGCTATTTAACTTAAGCTTTTGACTTGTGGTAGGACGTCTAAAAAAAGGACGTCTTATAAGTCCGCACGGGTAGGTACCACCACTGTCTATTTCTGCCGTGAAGCAGTAATGTGTTTCAGTTTGTAGGGTGGGGCAACCATCGTACTGTAAAAACGGAAACCTTAGAACTCATATCACAAGGTGGCGGTATTTACGTTGTAGATGTCTATGGGCTCCAGTAACTATTTAATACTAGGTGGACTGTGACCTCATCCACCCATCTAAGCACTAAAAAATAAAAGTCATATCTATCTCAAGGTGGGTGGCGGTATTTACGTAATTGATGTCTGTGTACTCTGGTAACCACTTAACACTAGGTGAACCGTGAACTCGTTCACCCATCTACGCAATAAAAAAACATTCTTGTTTATTGAATGATTACGACATTTAGCATTTTTTTTAATTTTTTTTATTCGTATTCGTTATGCTATATAAGGTGTTCAGTGGTTACGGGAGAGAATGCCGCTATCTACCTTGAGACATGCCATCGAAATCTCAACTGTATTGTATTGTAATACGGCACCATTCAAATCAGATATCAAGACTGCTACGCGGCAGAAATAAGTAGGATGGTGATAGGTCTCCATTGACTTACAATACGCCCTGTCTACCCCCAATATAAATAAATATAGAATTTATAAATGTTGCGCATTTTCTTTTATTACACAATGTTATTCCTGTATCGTATAAATTCTAAGCAAGTAATAAGCACCTTTTACCTATAATCGGCTACAAGGTTTTACATCGACAAAACAGAGAAGCGAATTTCTTAGGTCTAGTGGCCAAGACAATAAATACTAGTCGTCTTTGGCACAAAAAGCTAAGTTCACTTATTCCTAATTCTAATCAAATATACCAGCATCACCAAATTGGCATATATGACATTTACGGACCATAATACAATAACATATGATTTGGTACCATCAATTTAAATCTGTAATAAATAATATATTATATCGATTTCTGGCCGATTACATAGATATCTCCAATCAAGTATGTATTGTTCACAAGCCTTGTGTTAATAATAATTTAAAACTAAAATTAAAATATTTTAAGAAATCAAGATGGACATTAATGTAATACTTTATGATGCTACTGATTTTTTTTATTGCTTAGATGGGTGGACGAGCTCATAGCTCACCTGGTGTTAAGTGGTTACCGAAGCCCATAGATATCTACAACGTAAATGCGCCACACACCTTGAGATATAGTTCTAAGGTCTCAGTATAGTTACTACGGCTGCCCCACCCTTCAAACCGAAACGCATTACTGCTTCACGGCAGAAATAGGCGGGGTGGTACTTACCCGTGCGGACTCACAAGAGGTCCTACCACCAGTGTGATTTGGTACCATCAATTTAAATCTGTAATAAATAATATATATCGATTTCTGGCTGATTACATAGATATCTCCAATCAAGTATGTATTGTTCACAAGCCTTGTGTTAATAATAATTTAAAACTAAAATTAAAATATTTTAAGAAATCAAGATAGACATTAATGTAATACTTTATGATGCTACTGATTTTTTTTATTGCTTAGATGGGTGGACGAGCTCATAGCTCACCCGGTGCTAAGTGGTTACCGAAGCCCATAGATATCTACCACGTAGATGCCGCCACCCACCTTTAGATATAAGTTCTAAGATCTCAGTATAGCTACAACGGCTGCCCCACCCTTCAAACCAAAACGCTTTACTGCTTCACGGCAGCAATAGGCAGGGTGGTGGTAACTACCCATGCGGACTCACAAGAGGTCCTACCAGTTTGTCTGCGTAATTATATATAAATTTTTTTTGTGTGATAGTTTACTGGTGGCTCGAAGGCCTTTCCAGCTTCGCAAGGTAAGGTGGGCCAACCAAGGCTCAGCCAGGAAGGGTAGGATTAGCTGACGGGGTGTAAGTACATATATATGTCTCTGCACATATCACACCGGGCACATATCACAGGTATAGACCTCTCTACCAGGTGCTTAAGTGGCCAATTATACATAACTCATTCACGAGTTAGTTATCCCAGCAATATTATTATAGCCAGTTATTGTTACCACATATCTTTACGTGATATGCCTTCAGTGATTAACCTCATATATTTTTCTATTTATATTTACTATTTTACGAGCATTTTTAATTAAGAGAATGATATTATAAATTCCCTTCTCTGCTATACCGTGCACACAGCCAAGCGGATCCAGCTTGTCTGGAATCTTTGTTTCTCGCATTCACAACATAAAAAAATGTAGCTTAGGGTCATTAAATGTGAAATAATAATAATAAATAATAAATAAATAAATAAATATTTACTAACAATCACGCCACATTAACTGGTCCCGTGATAAGTTCGTAAAGAACTTGTGTTACAGGTACCAGATAACGGAAATAAATGTAAGATTTTTATTATACACATACATATATTTAATATACATCCATAACCCTGGAAAAGACATTTATATTTATCATACAAATATCTTCCCTTGGCGGGATTCGAACCCGCGACCCCCTTGTGTAGTCACCATGTCACTTACCACTACACCAGACGGCCGTTAAATGCTAAGACATTTAAGGTAAGAAAAACTAAATAAATATGGCACATTTTCAAATTTTATTTACATTATAAGTTCATTTGACTATCGATGTTACTGATATTGATATCGTACGTTGCTCGAAATAAAGTCCACTTTTCTTTGGCGGGGGTCGTTGTGTTCTGAATCTTCTGGATCTATAACTTTTTCACGGTTTCGGTCTTAGGTGGGTGAGCGAGAATGTAGTCAATAGCGCGACGGATGGCTTCAGGCATTGGAGGAGCAACTGGAAGTAATTCACTCTGCGAGGGAAGAAAACAAACATTTAGTGTTATATTAGATTTGAATATAACAATTTACATGAATTGCATAGAAACATAGATTATAGATAAAGAAAGCTCAGTATTCCAGCTTATTAGACAACATGTTTTTTTTTTTTAATACTGAAATCGCGATGTCCACTGGAATCATTTTCTATAATTCAAAGCGATCATTCGTTCCAGTTCGAAGATTTAGATAACCATTATCCAAAGCAATGTAGAACTTTGAACTCGCTTTCGAGTTGTCTAATTCCAAGAAATTTTTGACGAAGCATGTTGCTGATAATAATATGTTTAAAAAAAGTGTTATTTCAATATTGCGAAAAATATAGACAAATTGATTAAATCTAATAAGATGAAGCAGACTATTGTGTTAATGTCACATTTACGAGTGTAAATGAGGATTGTCTGTGTGTAGTTCGGTTCTATTCCACCATATTCATTGACACAGATTTTGTTATAATGCATCTTATTAATAATGTTCTTTAGTTAAATTAAAAGTAATTCGAGAAATCAAGTGTATGTTATTACATATATTAAACTAAGCCATAAAAATTCGAAATACCTGTGGCTGGTATCCGTTCTCGTCAGCAATATACGTGAATTTGACAGGGGTTCCGTCAGGCGCAGAGTATTCATATTGACCTTGGATGGCCTGTAGAATTATATTATAATTAAGAAAACATGTTCTATGGTGTTATATGTAATTAAAATATATTTTAGCGATTCCGTAAATAAAAAAAAATACGAATCAAATTCAAATTTTATTAGATTTTGAATAATGCAATTGTATTGATTAGTTTAAATGTGCGAACACTATAGAATTTTCTTCGGTTTTCGCGAGTCGTGTAGAAAATTAAGAGAGAACTACTTTTATAGGTTTCATTTCGCGTTTTTTTATTGTAGTGTTGTAGTAAAATATTTCTTACGTTCCAAATGCGACACTACTTTTACTAACTTCGCCATTGTAACAGTGCAAACAAAACGCTGTAGTTGATTTGAGGCCAATTCCCATTGCATATTTATTTCATTGCATTACTGGGCGAACGAGCTCACGATTCATCTGGTTCTAAGTACTATCCATCTTGTGATTACTGGTGGTAGGTCCTCTCGTGAGTCCGCACGGGTAGGTACCACAACCCCGCCTATTTCTGCCGTGAAGCAGTTACGCGTTTCGGTTTGAAGGATGGGGCAGCCGTTGTAACTATACTGAGACCTTAGAACTTATATCTCAAGGTGGGTGGCGCATTTACGTTGTAAATGTCTGTGGGCTCCAGTAACCACTTAAAACCAGGCGGGCTGTGAACTCGTCCAACCAACTTAGAAAAAAAAAAGTAAAAAAGTTTTTGTCCCCATAGACGTCGCAAGACTAAATGCCGTCACACGCCTTGAGATATTAGTTAACTTGATCATAGTATCAATTGTATATAGTTTTAATAAATTGTGCATCGTGGTATAAATTTTTTAATTTTCTGTGTCTATATTGGACGACGTTACTGTTGTTTATTATTCAAACACTGTTCTGATCGGGAATCAGGTAATTGGTAGCTATTAGTTCACTAATCGACTTTGGTCTAGTTCAGCTATTTCACAGATTTCGACGAGCACATTGAACGTGTTCTATAAAGGAAAATTACATTAAAAATTAAATGAACATCATATATATGCACGTGTCCGATGCATGATGTGAACTATATGAGGTATTCGTTTTTTTTTTTTCAAACTGGCTACTTACGAGAACGTCGATATTATCAACCTTCTTCAAGGATCCAGATGATTGAGCGCTGATTCCATTGTCAGTTTCATACCTGGTGGACAAAATTAAATATTAATTAGAAGAAAAATATCTTTGCACTGTTTGCTATTTTAAAAAAGATGTGTACTGCTCACTGATCACCTGCTGACAAAAATAGACGAGAGACCGTGGTATCGCTAATGCGAGTTCAAATCATTAAATAATTGATAATAAATCATATCGGTGACTTCGCAATTTTTCTTTGCTTAAGCTACACGACAGACCTTTAAAGTTTGAACCAGCATTACATTATCTGAATTCGGACTATATTATCGGAATATATTTCTAAACTCTCAATGTAAGACTTTCATTTTAATTTTAAATACCTTTAAATAATTTTTGGAACAAAGTTCCTTATGTGGAGGGGTACACTAACCGGGAAAATGGCTATACAGTGTCTAATGTATAGTCTACGTGATAACGGTTATTATTATTATTATTATTATTCATATAAATAGCTGTTTCTATGTATATTGTTAAAAACATATTTTTTATAAATCATTGTGAATAAAATAAAGTTGATAACTTTGTAAATTAGTTTCTTTTTTTATCAATAAAAAAATTCATAATAAAAAACGTATACCCGAATAATTATTTTCTTTATACCTCGAATAGAAATTAAAATTAATATTTTTATAATAAGGAACTTCGTCCCTATCCGGTGTCCCACGACACGGTATATCTTTTTATCATAACACGAGTTAGTAATTTGAAAGGAGCACTATTTTTAATAGGATTTTATCAGACACATTCGATGGCCCTAGACTATAATATCTCGTGTGGTAATGCTGCAGGAAAAAAAAAATGTGTGCGTGTACTAGTGTACACACGTAAGAAGTGAAACTTATTTATGGCCTTATTTTTCGAAAAATGATCTACATGCAACTTTCTAGAAATTGGTTAAATAAAGTTAAATTAGATAAAGTTTAAACAAAAGGATTTTATTATCATAGACATGAATACAAAAAAGTTAAATTAGATAAAGTTTAAACAAAAGGATTTTATTATCATAGACATGAATACAAAAAAGTTAAATTAGATAAAGTTTAAACAAAAGGATTTTATTATCATAGACATGAATACAAAACAGATGGCGCGTAACGGAAAAATGTGACGCGTAACCGAAAAACGTGACGGTAAATTTTTTTCCAACGCCGATAAGGAAGTTTCACTTCAAAAGAAATAATATCAAATATTTCTACGCCTCAACTGCTATAATCTCAAATATTTTTAAAACGTTATATTTTGAATTAGCTAAGCTCGATCACGCTTCGCTGTGAATATAGGTAACTAACTGTATGAAAAGCTCCGATCTCTTGAAGCTACTGGAACACTATTAACCGTTGATAATACTATGCCAGAAACATTCCATAAAATGCTCACAACAGCTGTGCAAGTCTCTTCAGAGTCGGCTGAACGGCTTATAAGCCTATAGAAGACAACCATACAGATATTCGCCTTTTTTTAAAGATAGTTATTCATACCGAGAAATAAATATGGACCCCGTGGTTCAAAAGTCTTAGTCATAAACCACTAGATCAATCATGCGCTTCTCGGCTCGATGAATTTTAACGGAAAAATATTATTTATATCTAAAAAAACACTTAATTCAACAACTCACCCAAAGCTGAATCCGTCAGGATTCACTTCAGTATCAGAACGGAGAATGACGGCATCAGCTTCACTGCCGCTGACTACTGACTTCACGACGGGCACTGGCTTCACGACGGGCACTGGCTTGGCAGGCTGAGCTAAAACTCCCAGGGGCTTGTAGCCACGAAATTCTTGTGCGCTGACGGCACATACGCATAAAGCCAAAACCTACAAAAAACAAACATTTAACTTGTGAATTCTATAAACGAAACTGATTTTCAATTCAGTCTTTTTGTCAAGAACAAGCGGTCTACCAGCCGCCACCCATGACGGTAACATAATTAACAGGGTGCAGTGATCACTCGTGAACATACTTAACGGTACATGCAATGTTTAGAAATATTAAAACATAATGTGCACGTGTTCTGACTCGAACCTGCGATTTTTCCAGACGCGCATGATACCGCTAAGCCGCGCGCTTATCTATTCAAAATCATTAATATCTCACCAAGAATTTCATATTGCTGAGATCTGTACGGGCACGAGTTCCAAAATCAACAGGTAACAAACATTGGATTACGGTCCTTTTATATCTAATAGAAATACGACTACAAAAAATTATGACTATTTATTTTTATAAGGGTATTGGCACGCGAGATTGTCCTTGTCGATTTTTTTTTGTTTTCACATTGTCATCAGTAGAATTTCCATAAATAGATTTGTAATATAAAATGAGTGTTGAATAATGAAATTGATATGAAATTCACGACCACTCAGAATTTTTAATTTGTGTGTCCCCCTCGCGAATGTGTAACTTGCCTTAGTAGGCAGAACGTCGGAAGAATTTTAAGGCTATTAATAAAAGACCGCAAGTACTTTTTGCAGAATGTTTTAAATGCATACCTCGAATTTTGACGTAACATCTATTTGAGAACGGATTTGTCTTTTAAAAAAGCTTTGACAGTGATTCTCGACAGTTTCGTGATAAATTCACCTAATTTGTTGTTGGAAAATGTGATGTAATTCGGAAATGTATGTACGTGTTTCATACTATGCGAATGTGAATAATAGGTTAATTTAAATATCTCACGTATTTCGCAAGGTACAGTCCCATTTCCATATAATACTTTCCTGTCTTGGTTATCGCCCAATTAGCCTCCTCGTGTCTCTAGGCTAACTATACCAGCGTCTGGTCTATAAACGCCTCAGAGACATCATCTCATCCAAGGGAATTCTCATCTATAAGCAATTGGAATCCGCGGAAATCACTTATGCGTACAACAGATGCATCGCCTCACGGAGCACATTCTCTTAGGGCTTAACCGACCAAAGTCGCTCTACACCGGAGCCCACTTCGTCAAAAACTTTCAAAAAAAGTTTGGCGCAACGGTTTGATTTTTAAACTATTCAACATGGGCGTGCCGGACAGTCTCGCGCTCATCATACCGGACTTACGAGTAGAGGGAGCTCGCTCCTCATCGCGTCCTTCTTGCCGGAGTCCCGCCAGACTTCGACTTCTCTCCACTCCTCTCCTCCGCTCCGCTCCTTTTTAGTTTGTTTACCAACTATATTCCCTGGTCGCAGCCGATCCATTTAGCCTTATTCGCTGACGACACGACTGCTTACTTTTCGAGTAAAAAGAATTCCCAAATCACGAATAAACTCCAGAGCGCAGCCGTAACCTTCGGACAGTGGTTCCAAAAATGGCGCATAGACATCAATCCAGCGAAAAGCACAGCAATGCTGTCAAAGGAAAAACCTTATATGGATTTCCTCCCGCATTAGGAGGAGAAATTTTACACCCCCGATCACCCTCTTCGGCCAACTTATGCCCAGAGCCAAGGGCCTGGAAAGTCAAATACCTGGAACTCACCCTGGATGCACCCATGACATTCCGCCCGCGTATAAAATTAGTCCGCGACCGTACCGCATTTATTCTCGGCAGACTCTACCCCATGATCTGTAAGCGGAGTAAAATGTCCCTTCGGAACAAGGTGTGACACTTTACAAAACTTACATAAGGCCCGTCATGATGTAAGCCAGTGTGGTATTTCTTCACGTGGCCCGCAAACACATAGTCACCCTACAATCCTGCTTTTGCAGATTGGCCGTCGGAGCTCCGTGATTCCTGAGAAACATTGACCTACACGACGACCTGGGCCTCGAATCCATCCGCAAACACATGAAGTCAGCCTCAGAAAGGTAATTCGATATACGTCATGATAATCGCCTTATCGTTGTCGCCGCTGACTACTCCCTCAATCCTGCCCACGCAGGACTCAATCACCGTCGATGCCCTATATAAGTCCTTACAGATCCATTAGATCCAATAACTCTTGCATTACACTCGTTCAGCTCTAACACTAGCAGCAGGCTTAGAGAGCCCCCGGTAATCGTACTCGTCGAACTCGGCAAAGATTTCGACGTGCAGCCTAACCTAAACATCAGGCCGATGAGTTTCTCGCCGGATCTTTTGAATGGGGTCGCAATTACGATCCGGTAGTAGAGTCACTCGCGAAGCAGCTGCTCTTCAGTTGTTAGGTCTGATTTGGAAGTGGAGCTGTTAGCAAATCCCACCCCTGTCCGAGCCTTTGCTCGCCCGTCTGTCCTGATGAAACTGGAAAAGCCTCTGGGCCACCAGTAGTACCTAAATCATAAAAAAAGTGTTCACACTCTCTTACCATTCGCTTACGTAATCGGTGTCTAATTTATGAATAAATGTGAGTTTTACTGTAATTTCTATTTTCTACCTTGGACGTTTCTGCTAAGGCAGATATTTTTTGAAGACAATAACACTATTACATATACAATTATAGCGATGAAAAGGTGATGATGAAGTAGACCAACAGACACACCCTTTGTTGATACAAAGGCGTATTATGGACCTGCATGCGTAGGCACCGGTTCCTGTCTGGAAATCCTATTGTTACACAATTCAATTGATACCTTGACCACGTTCTCACAATGGACGGCGGGCAGTATTCATGTTGATATATATGGGCTCTGGCAACTACTTAACACCAAGTGGACCGTGAGCTCGTTCACCCATCTGAGAAATGAAATAATTAAGTTCTCTATAACATAATTAATAAAAAGAACGATCTTGTAAATATATTTTCCATATCGGTTTAAAATTTAAACTATATCCATTGTATGTTTAAACAATGCGATCATTTTTAATTTTAACAAATCTTTAACAATTTGTACAGTAAATTTTAAGGATGTTTACATACTCATATTTAAATATTCGTGTGTGTACATATATTAATGATGAGGAATAATATTTAAACATAAAACATTAATATTTCAAATTAATTCTAATTACCAATTCATATTGAGCTGAAGTAATATACGTTTTTTTTTATTCCATTCTTTTATTTCTATATCAAATTACTGAATTATTGAATTACTGAATTAATAGTATTGTATATTTTAATTTAATACTAAGAAGATTAACAGAATATTTTATTTAAATAACCACCTAAATGTTGATTACAGCAGCTCCCGACCCGTCAGTCTTTATATGAATTGTACCATGTAATGATACAAAGTAATAATAATAATTCTGGACGAAGTTATCATGACAAACACTACACTACCAGAATACTAGTTACTACTATACTAGAATAGAAGAAATACTAGAAATACTAGTACTAAGCCCGAAAAATTATAATTTGCGTAATCACTGGTGGTAGGACCTCTTGGGAGTTCGCACGGGTAGGTACCACCACCCCCGCCTATTTCCGCCGTGAAGCAGTAATGCGTTTCGGTTCGAAGGGTGGGGTAGCCGTTGTAATTATACTGAGAGCTTAGAACTTATATCTCGAGGTGGGTGGCGCGTTTACGTTGTAGATGTCTATGGGCTCCAGTAACCACTTAACACCAGGTGGGCTGTGAGCTCGTCTACCCATCTAAGCAATAAAAAAAAAAAACCTATATTAAAGGACGGAACGGTCAACATTTGTCGAGCATGCAACCGTCCGGGAGAGTCTATTAGACATATTGTTTCTAGATGTTCTCGTTTTGATAACGGTAGTAGGTACTTGGATAGACATAACCAAGTGGCTAGGATTATCTGTGGCGGGTAGCCATCATACAATACAAGATATTTGGACAGATGCCTGAATCTCGCTTACGAACGTCAAGCAGAACACAGGTTGATATCACCATTCCTCATGACGAGAACCTCGTTAAGGCAGAAAAGGACAAATTAATAAAATATTTAATTCTGGCCCACGAGACTAACGCCACGTGGCATGTTGATTCAGCCATCATTGTCCGAATAGATATGTCGGTACAAAGTTTCATAGCGAAAAGTTTCGATCAACACCTTAAGAAACTTTCATTATCCAGCTGGGTTAGGAGCCTGGTATAGAAAGCAGCTATCCTTGATACGGCGCGTATTATGAGAAAGTTTCTCATTCTGTAACTTTAACTAATTGTGCCTTCAAGTGTCGTAGACAATGCCATCAGTGGCAATTTACTTTTTATGTGTATATTGTTTTACAAAAGTGTATTTTTAAGCTTTACAAAAAAATAGTATAATTAATAAGATTTTAATAAATACTAATAGTATGACAACAATAATTAAAGTGCAATTGCTAACGTTAAACATCAAATAACAGGCATTCATATATGACTGATCACTAGTCACAGATGATGGATTGGCTACATCGTCCAACTGTGACCTAATCATTTATATTTTTATATGAAATCAAGGTTTATGTAGAATTTGGTTGGAACTGAATGGATAATAATCATTGACGACGTTTTATCCGCTTTTCGAAGACTATGACTGACATGTTATTCTTCAAACGAGGCTTGCGGGAAGCATTCGGCGGTAGACAAATAATTGGCTGCACTCCTGGCATAGCTGACGTCTATGAGTGATGGCGACCACTCACCATTAGACGGGCCGTGTGCTCGTCTGTCTACATATGCAAAAATAAACTCATCCAATAGTACTAACCAAAGTATCTGTTTGTAATGCACCTTAAAACTTATATAATAAACATATAACTTAAGTTAAAACAACTAAAGCTTTTCCTAGACAACTGTTGAGAACCGACGGTAGTCCCGCCCGAGCGTAGCTATAATAACCCTTTAGGCAAACAGCGAATAGGAAAGGAAAGAAAAAAAACGACGGTAGAAGCAATACACACACTTTCATTCGTATCGTGATCACTTTCACTGTTAATAATGTTGTGAGCGTTCAGTTAATAATATTCTTTATGTATTATTCTTGAATACATTAGTATATTGGAATTTGATTGGAAACAAATTTAAAAAAAACACGTGTGGAACTCGGGGACTGCCGCGGTAAAGCTATTGCATAGCATTTTTATTGAATTATGCAATTATAATTAGACAATAACAATTCAATATTAAAACAATAATAAAATAAGACCACGCTATATTTATAAACATTAAAAAAAGCAAAACATTAACTGTCCTCTTCACACTCATAAGCTAGACCGCGCGAGAGAGGGATGGGCAGACTTTTCATGATGCGCATGCGACGTCACGCCGCGCACTTATTCACAAACTCTACAC